TGCCCACAGTGCCAAAACCACTTCCAAGTGGTTTGCTGACCATGATATTACTGTGCTTGATTGGCCAGCCAACATGTCTGACCTGAACCCCATATGGAATCTATGGGATATTTTCAAGAGAAAGATGAGAAACAGTGGATCTGAGCTGAAGGCTCAGTAGTGCCTCAGCTGTACCACAGGCTGATCGCTTCCATGCCACACCTCACTGAGGCTGTCATTTGAGCTAAAGGAACCCCGGCCAAGTATTGAGTGTATAAATGAACATACTTTAAAGAAATTGAACTTTTCTGTTTTGCAAATCCTTTTTTGATTGATCTTAAGAAATATTCTAATATTTTGAGATACTGAGATTAACAAATACTAACATGAATTATGTATAACTCGAGATTAGATTTTTAAAATCATATTCATTTAATCTCATCATATCATTATTACCACAATGATTATATATATACTTTACTATTATATAATGCTATATATATATATATATATATATACCGTATATATATATATATATAACTAAATCAATTTAGAATTCACCCAATTCTTCAAAATTGATTTTTTTTTCTTTTAGGATTTTTAAAAGACATTTAACGGGATAGTTCACCCATTTGTGTTCAGCAGAAGAAAGAAATTCATACAGCTTTGGAACAACTTGAGGTCTAACTGTTACAATTCATAATGAATGACTTCTGGCCAACTGATCCACAACAACACTCTAACATATTACCTCATGTTCCTTCTGTTGTCATATTTTGAGTTATTACATGACATGACATGACATGACATTACATGAAAGCAACATATAATAGCATGTAACACTAATATGACAAACTTCACTTGAGGTCTAACTGTTACAATTCATAATGAATGACTTCTGGCCAACTGATCCACAACAACACTCTAACATATTACCACATGTTCCTTCTGTTGTCATATTTTGAGTTATTACATGACATGACATGACATGACATGACATTACATGAAAGCAACATATAATAGCATGTAACACTAATATGACAAACTTTAGAGTTTTGGAACAAATCTTACTTTCCTTTTCGCCATCATATGTACTGTAGGCCTACCATAAATAACAGGCACAGAACTGCATCAATGTATCCACAAGGTGTCAGTACACACATTAATTAACAACTCAACATTTTCTCCCAGGCTCCTGCAGCCAAGCAAACAAGCGAATGGATGAATGGATATTGACTCCATATATTGCATTATCTTAATGCATCCACGTGTATTTTTTTGACTGGGTAATTAAATTATAATTATATATAGTTATTAGATTTTACAAATAAAAGAGAAACAGAACGAATGCTAAAAATTGTTACAATATAGCCTAGACTAGAGTATTTATAGAAATAGAATGCAATATTTTCATAAATATATCCCAAAGAGATAGTGTAATACTGTGTATTATGACTTAATTTACACCTTACATTTTATTATCTAATGAAAATGTCCAACTGCGCTTCTGTTTCATGTTAGGCTACTTCACAGTTTCAAACCTATTGTTCCACCCTTCACAAAGTCCTTACTAAAACCAAATGACCTTTGTTCAGTGTTATTCATTAATTTCTAATAATGAGAACCCATAACAGGTGCAGACATTTTATGTGCTTTTATGAGACAGTTTGTCAGTTCTGCTGATCTGCAGCTTAACTGCTGGATCTCTGCTTTCTCACTAATGAGATCTGCTCTGAGTGATGCAATACCGCTGCTTAAGAAAATCAAACATAATTTTTATACATATTACTTGATTATTATTATTCCTGAGTCTGCAATACAGCATTCAAACCTTGCCAGCTTCAGACACACCACAATCGGTAATACAAATCTCAATAGCTCTCATAACTCAAATCGAAATGGTCATTCTTTCCTGCAATTCTGTCTGCATTTCGTTCAGTATATGAACAGAAGAAAGCAAAAAGGATACCAATAAAAGGAAAAAGGCAGTGTTACAAGTAATCATATTATTGTTTGATAGACCTAGTGAAAAATTCATGCATTTTTAAATGAATGTATAAAATTGGCATTAAACAGGCACCATGAAGGTGAAAGTTCATAAACTGATACAATATAAACTATTAATCTAATGAAACAAATCATGAATTTATTATTATTATTATATGAACCCCATATAAAATGTATCTGATAATAACCATCAGGGCGATGGTTTGTTGAAATCACATCAGATATATTCAGAGAGAAGAAAATCTGAAAGTGCCTCTAATGGAAATTGATTACAGGGCATTACTGGCTTTGACTGGGTGCAAATATGACACTATTGTAGCTGTGTTTTTTTTTTAATGTGTGGCAGCCTTCACCCCACCCAAGCTGTGGCAATGTGACAGCACCCTGTGACTCCACATCCACCCTTCACAAGATTCAAATGACAAAAGCCATTTCAAACATCAAAACAACTAACAAAAGCCAATCTTAGCCATGCTTTGTCTTCGGTGGTAACAGTATGCCTTTGATAGGATGACACAATGCAGAAGTTGCCTCATCTGAAACAAACTTAAAAAACTAAACAATATGCTAATTATTTTCACTAAACAATAAATTGTTAATGAATGCGTATATAATGTGTGCAGTTTTTCCATTGAAACAGACATCTCTGTGAACATATTATTCAAATAGGCTACTATATTCTGGGGTTTATTTAATATTTAGTATTAATATCAAATAACTTTAAAATTAATTTCAAATTGATGAGTTAGGTAATATATTTTTACTCCTTCAATGAGAATAATCTAATTAAGACAAAGCATCAAGCATTGTTACCAGAAATGCAAACTCTACAGCTGTATGTCCCATTATTATTTACGAAATCAGCAATTTGAAACGCCACTCAAATCATAGAAATGGAACTAACTGATGTGTTATAAAATGACTAAAATTATTTCATTTTTATACTTATGGGTGATAGCCTAGTACTGAAGGCAATCAGTAAGTAAAGCAGGATTTTGATAATTCCAGCTGGCCATTCAAGAGACTATGAACCTCAATCGCAGCCATTTCATCAGCAGAAACAGGCTGATGGATTATGAGTCTTGTTCAGATGTCACCAGATAGTACATCTACCGACATATATAAATGAATAATAAAGAGGCTATATAGCTAGTCTCCACATATAAAAACTGCACTACCTAGTTTAAAATAAATGTAAACAAAATATATAGGGCTATATTCTGCTGTACTAGCATAGTAAGCTCATATCCTTTGAACAAGACTGGTGTTCTGTGGTTCTTATATAATTTCCCCAGATTTCATTACTTAAAGTGAGGATAAACTTAATAAAGAGCTCTTTCACCGGCTGCATTCTCGCAGCAGCTGAGTGAAGAAACCTGAGCGCTGATTCCTTTGAGCGCAGAGGGAAGGCAGTAGATCCGTGGATCATGTGATCTGTTTGCGTCTCAAGGTCGCCATTTTGCAGGAAAGTTTGGGAATTTCGGGAACATTAGAAGAAAGAGGAAGTGTTGCGCTGAAGAAGTTTCGATTACGGACGTGTGCGGATCCAAGACTCCAGTCAGGAGGGAACGGGAGACATGTGTGAACGGGAACCCGTCTGCGAGTGAACTTTACTTGCACTTCAGCAGGGGTTATTAGTATTTCTGCCTTTTCACTTCCATTGCAACAGATCGGAAGCAGTTTTTCCAAATGTTTGTAATGCACTCTGCGATTTGTTGATTTACTACTCCATGCACTCGTCTGCAGAAAGTTGAGCAAAGTTGTATGAAAGTGTCCACGGGGTCCTGTCGCATCTGTGACAGGGTTATGAGTGAAGTGGTCGCTTACAGTTTTTATTGGATTGGAGGACTATTGATATTGAGCTTTCACATGTCAGCCTGACCCGGTCAGTGATCGCCGGTGATTGTTGATCACTACGAAATCAAAGTGAAAGTGATCAGTCATTCATTTCAATGGTTTACAGCAGTCGCAGTTGTGAGACTTTGAATTTTTGAGGCTTGATCATGCCAGTGAGAAAGAAAGGTAAGGTTTCTTTAAAATGTGTATATATTTAAAATGCCGTGTAACCAATATTTTAGTATATAACTTATAAGTTATGAGAAAAAACAATGCATTTTCTAAATATATATTTTAAGCAACTTTGTTGTGTTTGGCCAGTGATTCTCAGCAGGGTTTTTATAATGTGTTTTTCAGATGCTCAGAGGGCACTGCTGCTTCTGGACGAATACCGAACTAAACTCAGTCAGACCGGGGACCCTCATCTCAGACGTTCAATTGAGAGAGTCATCAATATTTTTCAGAGTCAACTCTTCCAGGCTCTTATAGGTACGTTGCTGCAAGAACAAACAATGTTTTCCTCAAGGAAGTTTCTTAACACTTGTCTTGTTGTGCTAAGATGGTGGAACCGGTTTGACTTCACCATTATTTGACATGTTTGACATTTTCAATGATGTATTACAGCAACATTGTTTTTTCTTATTCAACTGCAAATAAAGGTGTTTGCACGTAGCAATTTAAATATGTTGTTTTATTCCTAAAGTACACTTAGAGAAAATTGTAAGGTTTCCATTCTCAGGGAAAGCATAAAATCTTTAAAAGTTTTACGAATGGAAACTTTTTGACTTTGAAACTGTTTGTTTTTGAAGTTATGCTTAGTTGTACAATATTTCATCTCTTTTGTAAAATAATGAATCTATTTTACCATTTTTTCATCTGTTTCATCTGTTTTTTAAAATTCAATATTTCATCTGTTTTTGTAGGCATAGTCGCTATATAATTTTTTAATGACCTTTTCCAGTAATCACAAAACAGTGGGATTCCATTTGTCAGAAAGTGTCTTGGCTTGTATTTGCTGGGAATGTAGTCTAAACATTTTGTGTGCAGTAATTTCAAGTAAATTTTTGTCAATTTAAGAAAATCCTTTGAGTTTGCCTTTTAAGCAGGCTCTTTTGGGAGTTTATGCAATTAAGATAAAATGGAAGAGGAAATTGGTGGTGATAAGCATTTTACTATTGAAAAAGTCCAACAGAACATATCCAGAAATAGCTATAAAGATAACTTGGAATGTTTTTGTATATTTGTTTTATACTGGCTGCTATGCGGACAGATTTAGTGGGCATCTTCAAAAAAGGTTGTGGTGAGATATTTGATAAATTGATTTTGTAGTGAATTTGTGGCAGTGTACAGTACACTGCTGAAAATGGAAAATGTACTGGTAATTTTCTACCAAGATATTATCCATTGATTTTACAGACATTTCCATTAAATCTAAAACAATGCAGTGCAGTTTGCCTTTTAAGCAGGCTCTTTTGGGAGTTTATGCAATTAAGATAAAATGGAAGAGGAAATTGGTGGTGATAAGCATTTTACTATTGAAAAAGTCCAACAGAACATATCCAGAAATAGCTATAAAGATAACTTGGAATGTTTTTGTATATTTGTTTTATACTGGCTGCTATGTGGACAGATTTAGTGGGCATCTTCAAAAAAGGTTGTGGTGAGATATTTGATAAATTGATTTTGTAGTGAATTTGTGGCAGTGTACAGTACACTGCTGAAAATGTACTGGTAATTTTCTACCAAGATATTATCCATTGATTTTACAGACATTTCCATTAACTCTAAAACAATGCAGTGCAAAATTCAAAATGCAGATAAAACACTTGGAAAAAAATCAATATGTATCATATTAATACAGTACATTGTGCCCTGTTTTACATTTTTAGAGTGTAGCATGGCCTACCCTGTTGTAATTTAGAGCATCTTTATATTCCCCACTGGACAAATCAAAGCACAGTGGTGCATACTTACTTGAGTCTTTTAATACTTAATTAAGAGGCATTTGAAATGCATCATTGCTTCGATCAGTTTCCAGTAATGCTGTGCTCAGATGGTTACAACTCGGTGCATCCCTACTATTATGTTTCCATGATTTGAACCCCCACTTGTTTAGTTTGTCAGTCTACTGTACTGCACACAGAAGAACTCCGTATGTTACATGCATGTTGGCTGCTATGTGTTGGTAAACATGGCATGCATTGCAGCCTACTTTTAAAAAATATTATAAAGATGAATGCAGTATGCTTTTGCAATTAAATGTTGTACTGTTGTATTGAAGGAAGCATAATGGTAAATAGATGGCTCCTTCTTGGTGCAGCCATTATTTTTGGTGTAAAATTGAGTAGCAGTATGTAACCATTTATCCATGATGCATTTATCCAAAGCGACTTGTAAAAATTGTGTTGTATTGCATTTCAAGGACAGTCCCTTCAGAGCAACATGCCTTTCTCAAGTGGTCAATTGCAGCATCCAGCAACCATCTGGTTACCATCACTGAACTTTTACTGATATACCGGCTAGACTTTTTCGACTCGATGTCCCATGAAAAATATACAACTGAACTGTAATTCAGAAATTGAAAACATGTTCATTAGAGAACATATGTAAGTCATAATTTGTATATGTCTTTAATGTATTTTTGAATAAATTATTAGATCCAAACACACACACACACACACAAACAAGTGTGACCCTTTATAGTGGCTGATAGTGTAAGACTGAAGCTGTTTGAATTTAATTTGGGCTTGGCTTATCTGAAATCTACACCTAAATGTACTACTAATGTGCACTAGTACTTATTTTATCATTAATTTTTATCATTGTTACTTCAGAATAGTGTCAGGCTACAACAAATTCCAGTCTTTAAAGCAATGTTATGGCTTGAAGCCATATACAGGTTGTAATTTTTAGGTTAAACATCATTAATGTATTAACACTTGGTCATGTTTTTATGGATTGGATTATCGATTTACACTTGGCCATGCAAATTCGTTTTCATAAAAGTTTGTATCTTTGATTCTGTGAACATTTGTTGGGATTATAGTTCTGTTGGTGGCTTATTAATCACATGCATTTGACTATGCAACCTCATAATTCTTTCAGATATTCAGGAATTTTATGAAGTGAGCCTCCAGGATAATGAGAATAAGCCCACAGAGCCGTCAAGCCTTAAAACCAGAGAACCTTTTCCTCCTGTTAATGAATGGAATCTCACTGGCCCTCCCAGTACCACTGCACCAACAGAAACTGTGCCCAGTGTCAATGCCCAAAGCAAAGAGGTAAGCAGAATATTGATGTGTATGCTGCCTCTCAGAACTGCATCTTTGCTCTAGGCATTACGTGGATCTTGAATGTCATTATTGGTTTTAGAGTAATTGCTGGTGTTTATGACAATTATTGGTGCATTCTTTATTCTGTGGAAGCAGGTGTTATTCATGCAATGATTCATTCAAAAACAGATTAATTAAAATATTTCTGAGTTTAATGCAATGTCATAGCCTACTCATAAATAAACTTAAAATAAAATGTATTCTTTCAAACATTTTAGGATTTTATAATATTATATAACCTAATATTAATATTATAATATTAATATTCCCTATTTGTTTAGCCTACTTTGTATTTTTGCTTTTTCTAAAGGTTCATATGTTTGTTTGGGGAAAAAAAATCTTAGATACATTATATCTCAGCATATCACGATCAAAAACAAATCTGCTACTTGATTAGTAACAGATGAATGAGTTCAGCTTTTACATCTTGTTTGCGTATCACCGTCATTGTGATTTGTGTGTTGAATTTTAAGGACCCCGTGTGCTAAGATGGAAAATCGCAAACATTTAGCGATTTTTTTTTCTGTTTTATTGCAAAAACGTGAAGTCCACTGGTCGATGTTGAAACGGCAGGGCAGAGGCGTTTTACGCACTCGGTTACCCACACAGTGACGTGCGGTTGGAGCACGCGGTGCAGAGGTGAGCGGAGCACATTATGCTGCTCGATCTTCCCGTGGTGCTCCTATCAACTTTGAACGCGCGTCAATATGAGTGCAGGCGTCCTCCTCCTCAGCATCCCCGACACACTGCCGCGGAAAGGAAAGGAAACATAAGGTGATGCAGACTTGACTTCTGAGTATATGGACGCGTACGTTTGCTCAACTGAGAGTAAGTTCCAGTCGTACGCGCAATGCTTTCGTGCATATGCATTCGCATATTTTAGCGACAGGTTTAGAGCAGCTGGAATGAGATGCTAAGAGGTCGCGCTCTGAAGAATGGACTGCTTATGTATTGTTAGCACAAAGGTAAGACATCCATATGCATGCTTGCAATGCTCTCCGTGCTGTTTGTCCAGAGTATGTTTCATATACAGATCATTATGATAATATATGACTGTAAAATTAAGATGGACAAATGTGCAACTTTAATAATCAGTGGTTACAGTACTATCGCTAGGATATTCAAATGAGTATTCACAAAGTTTGTTTATGCTCTGTCTGTCTATCTTGTTCTAAACATTTTACATAATAGTAGGAAACCACCACATACTAACCCAATAATATGATTACTTTGATAAGAAATTATGCTGTGAAAGGCGATCACACTGTGCAGTGTGCATTGATTAGGCTGTTATTAAGTTAGAAAGTGGTATTCGAGCTTAACTGTTGAATATTTAGGAGGTGTCGGTATAGCTATAGGAAAGAGTTACACAACCACATTTTATAACAAACTGATTCCTTAAGTTTTCAGGACTCATAAAGGAATTTAATTGAAAGAGGTTCAGACATGCTATGAACAAAGGAGCAGTCAACAACTGGTTGTCCATCACATCTTTAACATGCGTATTTGCAGATCTTTGCTGTCAATCACTTGTGTTAGAACTGTCAGCCTCTTTCAGATTAAGACAAATGGTACACTGTCAACCTTAACAGTCGAATTTATTAAATGAAATGAGTTCATAAATACTCTGTTAAGTGCACTTAATAGTTATGTGAACTCAATAACTGATTATGTTAAGCAGAACTCAAACTGAATAAATTACAGTATATTTCTATCTTCCAGCTTTGTTTGAAGAGTTACACAACCACATTTTATAACAAACTGATTCCTTAAGTTTTCAGGACTCATAAAGGAATTTAATTGAAAGAGGTTCAGACATGCTATGAACAAAGGAGCAGTCAACAACTGGTTGTCCATCACATCTTTAACATGCGTATTTGCAGATCTTTGCTGTCAATCACTTGTGTTAGAACTGTCAGCCTCTTTCAGATTAAGACAAATGGTACACTGTCAACCCTAACAGTCGAATTTATTAAATGAAATGAGTTCATAAATACTCTAAGTGCACTTAATAGTTATGTGAACTCAATAACTGATTATGTTAAGCAGAACTCAAACTGAATAAATTACAGTATATTTCTATCTTCCAGCATGCTTTGTTTGAGATTAAATGGGAGAGTAAATTATATAAGTTCACAGTACTCATAACCATTGGTTTCTAAGCTTAAATGAATTGAGGCAATCAGTTTCCTCTATTGAAATGAGTTATCACAACTCATTGGGTTTTACAGTGTAGTGTGGTTGGAGAGAGAACGAATCAAAACTCTTCTTGAGTGACCAAGTGAAGGAAAAAGAACTAAGAAAAAAAACTAGACAGCATTTTTTGGCTGCACATCTGAGAGCATGAAACCAGCAGGAGCTGCCTGACACTTTGGAATAAAAATGAGAATAATAATATAAAAAAATGAATCATTAAAGATGCATTACAAAATCTTGATCTTTCCCACTGTTATCTCTCACAACAAGGCTAATGTCAGTTCGTGTGTTTTTCTGTGTGCTGCTATATATTTAGGATAATATTTCTTTCTGTCTGCTTATTTATATAAAGAATATTTAAGGATGAGGGCTCCAATTTCAATCTGGCACAAATGTGTGTCACTCTAGAACAGTGATCATTAGATTCATTTTAGGGTGTTCTTACCTGAATGTGATCAGAGTACCCTTCAGTGGGTGAAATTTGTAAAAGGTGTTTAAAAGGTAAAGCTGTTTATCATTCAATGCAATTATGATCACTCATCACCATAACAGAATGCTGGAGTGTTTTTTAAAGACCCAGCCATCTGGAAGTACTGAAAGAAATTAGCATAATGAGATCATACTCTACTACTGATTTTACTGATTTTATCCGTCACCAGAATTTATTTAACTGGCTAAGTGTGTTTAAGCGCACACTTGCGTCAAAGAGTCCTCTAGAATTCAACAGTTATTATCGCAGGTTTGCAAGTAAAGAGGATGTTTGCTGAGTGCAGAGCACTTGCAGTGTCTGAACACTTACAGGCATGCACTTGAAATGTGCTAAAATTATGGTTATATAATCTGTGGAGTGCATTATATTTGTCGGTAGTGGCAAAAGCATAACATCTGTGCTGCTGTAAATGCACAGCCATGACCAGCCCTCCACCTGAAGGCAAGGCCCAAGGGTCTCTTTTAAAGCCTTGCATGCTTAAGCTTCTATAAACTTTCCCATGTTCTCATATAGGCAACATGGGGCCATCTCCAGTACTTCTTTACCATGGGAGACATGAGTTACATTTCTGATTTGATAATTTTTATTGTCTTAATTGAGTCGAGAGAGAGTTCCTTTCTAGATAAACCTTGACATTTAAAATCCAGTGCATGTTCTCGCACATGCATATTGTTTTAACATGAATGTCATAGTGTTCAGTGTAAGCGTTTTTAGTATGTATTTTACTCTCCCTCTTTTATTAGTTTGCTTTTTACTGAGTGGTTTGCCCTTTTCAAGAGCCTCTCTTTGAAGAACATAATAAGCATGGTTTGCAGAGAGCAGCACACTGTCAGTTTTATGTGACTGGTTGATGTGTCTAAACTTAAAATATGTTTTCAAGTGCCCCTGATTTCAACCATAGAAAGATACAGTCAATTAGGTGTTGTATTCTGATTACTTGGAGGCAATAATTTATATCTACATGTCATAATTTCCCCCCTGAAGCCGATTTATAATGTTTGTCAAGGCATCTAGCACGGACACATTATTTTGTTCTATGTGACCAGTGTTCTCCCATCTCTTTAACTAAAACATTAAGTGTTTTGCTCCAAGATTTTTTTCATAGGAGTTTTGAGTAAAACCTGTCAGTTGTCGTTATGCTCTAAAATCAGTGGAAATGTGGGTAGGGCTGGACGATAAGGCCAAAATTTATATCATGATATATTTCTTAATTTTGGTCGATTTACATTATAATTCCGATATCGATATGAACATTATAAAAAAAAAAAAAGCCTCATAAAAACTGCCAAGAATGTCCAGAACAGATGTCTGTACCTAAAAACTTCTGAAAAATGAATTTTCCAAGTCTAGGAAACCTCCTCCTATAAAACTATATAATATTTAAGAAGAAAAAAACAGCACAAATAAATTAATGTTTACCTTATATCAAACTATTGGCTGACATACACTACCACTCAAAAGTTTTTGAACAGTAAGATTTTTAATGTTTTTTAAAGAATTCTCTTCTGCTCACCAAGCCTGCATTTATTTGAAAAATACAGCAAAAACAGTAACATTTTGATTTTTTTTTTTACGATTTAAAATAATTTTTCTATTTGAAAATATTTTAAAATGTGATTTATTCCTGTGATTTCAAAGCTGAATTTTTTGCATCATTACTCCAGTCACATGATCCTTCAGAAATCATTCTAATATGCTGATTTGCTGCTCAAAA